CACAACTTAAGAACAAATCTGTGCGTACGAACGGTTCTTGCATGATGCCCATTATTTTATGGCTCACCTGAGCATCCTTGGCAGTCGCCTCGATGTTTATGATTTAATCCTCTGGAGGACACATTTGAAATGGAAACATACGGAGTTGGCCCAGGTTTTACAAATTAGTTTTTRTAATAGTTGGCATGCTTTATTGACATGTGCATGTTTTCTGTGAGAGGAGAGCTCCAGTGCAGGAGTCAGAATACAGGTTTTTATTCCTTTTGGGAYGGACTCAAGCCATTCATGATGTATTTTGAGAGAAAATTTGTTGRACTACATATAGTTGGGCCCAGCTCATCCACAAAGTGGGTTCTGAAATCAATCTCCTTGAGAGGAGCTGGACCTTATTCCACTCTGGAGTTGGGCATGGTGAGGGGCATGGTGTTGGTGTGGTTCTGCCTAAACTTGACTCTGCCTGTGGCCAGTCAGAAGGTGATTGTGCTAATGTTAAATTTGGCTTCATGTACTTTTCAACTTAACCAGACCTACCCTGCAGCTGAGATCTACAYATGAAGCACGTATGATTGAAGTGTAGAGGTGAGCTGAGCTTGTCTCTTGGTACAACACTTGATGTCATCAGTGTTKTACTTAAAAAGAAATACCAATTTATGCAATTATTTTTAATACCTTGTGTTTTGTTCAGCTTAAATGACATTGAAGAAATTTATCGGGGGTTGTTTATTTACCGATTTTTAAAAGYACCACACATTTTGTAGTTTTTTCTTACGTGAATAATGATATATTTTTYTATAAACTATTGTGTGATTATTTTCGTTATTAAAATTATGATTTTATGTACAGACTGGTCTGGGTGGCTATAAAATATGACTGCACAGGGTAGGAGGTACTGTTAGTTTAGACACATGCCTGGAAACACTTTGACACATAATAAAATGTTGATTTTAACATTAGGAAAGGAAAATTTTTCGTGAGAACTGACCCCAGTCCAGATAGGCTGGCCCTTAAAAGGTGCAATGAAAATAGGCGGGGTCAGGTCTYGAAGATGTTGGCTGAATGCAGATGAGAGCATTAAATCTGTCTTTCAGTCCAGTGCTGGTGTGGTTGAATGAACTCTTTTCACATTCAAACATTCAAATATTGATGTACTTTCTATCTGGTTATGAACACGTAATGAAGTAAACAAACACGTCTCATATCTTTTCAACATAATTGATTGATCAAAAGCATTGGTTTGTTGCATYGTTTTCTACTTTGTGGATATTCTATCTCTTCATATGGGACAACTCATTTTCAAAAACTGATTGGTTTCATGGTCATATGGTCACAAAGACAGTGAGACTGCAGTAAAAATTATTTGTTTGCAGATTTGTGTTTGAAACAGTCGCAGCGTGGTGAGATTTAGACAAAGTGTTTGCTCTGATGGTTGTTRTTCTGCAGGGCACAGAGCAGGCTCTGCACCGACTGCAGCAGCACTTCCCTGAGCTGCAGGTGATTGCTGTCAGTGGAAACTACTGYACAGACAAGAAACCAGCTGCCATCAACTGGATCGAAGGCAGGGGCAAGTCTGCAGTCTGTGAGGCCACCATCCCAGCAAAGGTGGTCCAAGAGGTACGATTACATTCTCAAAGTATGACAATGAGAGAAATGATCTGAGTTGAACTGAGCAGGGGTTGTACGTTTGAAAAAGCTCATTTTAACAACAGGATTTATCTGTTAGAAAACCTTCCTCTAAACACTGGTGTGTTACACTTTCTTTTGACTAAGTGTTTCTAAAGGCCTAAGATCATATCTGTGGCAAGAGATGGTCAGATGATGTGAAAATTATTATTTTATTTTTAAAATGTTTAGTGCTACCCATCATCCAAACAGTCAAAGGGGCATTCAGAGGGCTGTGATGTACTTTTAGGGGGAGATAGATTTGAAAATCTATAGAGAAAACCGAAGTGGGCCAAAAATGGATCCTTGTGGGACCCCGCAGGTGAATGAGCTGTAGACGTTGAGAAACACCCCAGTGAAGGTCGGAATATATAT